TACTGTCCTGGACATTAAGAATGAATAAATAAACAGTAAAGCTAATTTGCTGGTGGCCTAACGGGAGAAGTCAGTAGCTACGTGTTTTACATCTCTGTACATAAACTAGATATCCATAAAGGGAGAGAATATCTGGCTCATAAATATTCTCTTTCGGTGAGCAAGTACAATTGCAATGAAGTATAACCTTAAAAGGGTTAGCTAAATATTTTGTTGTATTTGTCCTGTAGCCAGCTAATTTCCTGTGTTATCTTACTGTATTTCAAGATGAGAAAGTTTGTACTGGTTAGTTGGCAGATGTTAGGATATGGTTAGAAGCAAATTCTGTCAAAGCACTTAAAAACCTCCACTGACTTTGCAAACAATAAATTAAGGTAATGTTTCAAGATAGTCTGCTTTTGGACCAATTTGTGTAACTTCCAAGGACTGTTTCTCTTTGTTTTACCATCAGTGTTTTAAATCTCTTGTTCTTCAGAAATAATTCAAGTTCTGTGCTAATTTCAAATTCAGTTCCATTTCATTTAAAGCCATTGTGTTTTATGAAATAAAGTACAGAATGATTTGTATATGAAAAGTTTTGTTAGACAAAAACGGAAGTGTTCAACCACTGTTTCTTTCAATTGCAGTTCAAGCTTAATTGTTCTCATTCAGATAAAGTGATGAATTTTGGGGTAGTAAAATGGAGGCTGGGAGTGCCTGACAATGCTCTATTTCAGACACTGAGTGTAAATTATTAAAGGCTGTGGTCCAAGTATCTGACAGAGCTAAATAGAAGCTCTTAGGGAGAACGTGTTTAAGAGAAGAACAAAAAGATTCTGCAGGAGCAAAGCAGGATGGCTGTGTGTTCAACAGGTGTTTGTAAACAGGGCCACGCAGGAACTCTCGGGACCAGCTGCCTTCCCAACACCTAATTCCTCCTGCTGTCATGCTGCAGAGCTTCCTGGTGGAAATGCAGTGAACAAACATGATCAACAGTGTGCAGCCAAAATTTGTTCTCACGGTCTTCAATTCCTTGCCACTGTTAGGCTACACTGTTACTAAATCGTACATTCTCAGTTCCAATTGTATCTTTGCTAGTTTTGATTCCTTCCTAAGGGTACTGACTGCCTCCTGCCTCAGTTTCTGGCTCCTTCCTTTTTTTTTTTTTCTCTACCTTCTCCTTTCTCCAGTCCTTCTCCCCAGAACTCTGACAAGGTGCAATACAAGTTTTTTCCTCTCCTCAAGTTATTTTATCGCCCTATCCTATCAGGTTTTTCTCCTCTTGGCACAGATTCAGTGTTTGTTGTCTTCCTTTTAATTCTTCTATTTTCTTACAGACACCCACATTATTTCTGGCATCTGTGTCATGCCTGCCCTTGTCATTTCCTTTCCTCCTTGTCATTTCCTTTCCTCCTTACCTCTCACTCTCCACTGACATTTTCACTGAACATCTTACTGTTTAAAATGCATCTTAATGTGCTGAGTCTTTTTCCATCTATGAGGAGGAGGCAAAAAAAAAAAGAAAAGGCTCTTGACCTGCTAGTCAGGCTTCCTCCTTTTACCTTTAAGCTCTCTCTATTCTTGTTATGTAGTTACTATTCAACCTCTTGAATACAGTTTTTGTCTGTAGCTGCCCTCCATAAAATCTCAAATGACCTTCTTTTGAAGAATGCTCAAAACCAGGACCTCATCCTCATTACTGACTCACTGTTTACTTAAATGTCTCTGATGATGTGTATGTAGCTCTTCTGTTTTATAGTTTGCTTGTAAATTCTTTAGGATAGGGTGCTCTTATTTCTGTGTTTGCACAGTATTCTGCTCAATTAGAGTCTTGTTTTATGAGTAGGACTGTGAGCTACTGTGGAAGCATGAATACCTAATAGTGTTTTTGATCAAAGATTCATTCCCCCCCCCCCCCCGGGTATTTGACCAGATCAAGTGATGTAGGTTATTGGTGGGATTGATAATAAGTACCATTTAAAATGGCACAGCTAAAGTTACCCACAGACATTGTCTCACAAGTTTGCATTGTGCTACAAAAGTAAAGCAGAATTTTGCTAATGTTTCTCATGTGAACTGACCTACTTCAGGCACTGGAGCACTAATATTTGCCACACAGTAAGAATTTGGCTCATAATCTTGGGAAAGCATTTGCATGCACATAGGGAATGTTGCCTAGTGTTTTTGTTAAAGGCTTCATCCTCATTCTGTTCCTCCTTTTGAGAATTTCTTTTAACTTAAAAGCGGAAAAAACAAGGTAAGCATGGTCTGACCCACATGTGATACCTAAGGAAGTTGTTTATGAACAACTTGGGACCTTGAAATCCACCACGGGGTATTGAGGGAGCTGGTAGGAATCCTCACCAAGCCACTTTCAATCGTTTATCAGCAGTCCTGGCTAACCAGGTAGATCGCAGTTGACTGGAGGTTAGCAAATGTGATGCCCATCTATGAAAAGGGCCAGAAGGAGGATCCAGAGAACTACAGGCCCGTCAGCCTGACCCTGATGCTGGGTAACATTATGGAGCAGATTGTCTGGAGTGCCATCAAGCAGCATGTACAGGGCAACCAGGTGATCAGGCCCAGTCAGTGTCAGTTTATGAAAGGCAGGTCCTGCTTGACTGACCTCATCTCCTATGACAAGGTGACCCGCTCTGTGGATGACGGAAAGGCCATGGATGTTGTCTACCTAAACTTTAGTAAAGCCTTTGACACAGTTTCCCATAGTGTTCTCCTGGAGAAACTGGCTGCTCATAGCTTGGATGGGTGTAGTTTGCTGGGTAAAAACCTGGCTGGATGGGTGAGCCCAAAGAGTTGTGAATGGAGTTAAATCCAGTTGGTGGCTGATCACAAGCGGTATTCCCCAGGGCTTGGTATTGGGGCCAGTTCTGTTTAAGATCGTTATCAATGATCTGGATAAGGGGATTGAGTGCACCCTCAGTGAGTCTGCAGATGACGCCAAGTTGGGTGAGAGCATTGATCTTCTTAAGGGCAGGAAGGGTCTGCAGAGGGAATCTAGACAGGCTGGCTCAGTGGGATGAGGCCAGTTGTATGAGGTTCAACAAAGTGAAGTTCCAGGTCTTGCACTTGGGCCACAACAACCCCATGCAGTGCTCCAGGCTTGGGGCAGGGTGGCTGGAAAGCTGCTCTGTGAAAAAGGGCCTGGAGATGCTGATCGACATAACTGAACATGAGCAGCTTTGTTCCAGGCAGCCAAGAAGACCAAGTGCATCCTGGCCTGTATCAGCAATAGCATGGCTAGCAGGGCGAGGGCAGTGATCATCTCCCTGTACTGGGCACTGGTGAGGCTGCGCCTCGAATCCTGTGTTCAGACAGACAGACACTGAGGTGCTGCAGTGGGTCCAGAGAGGGGCAATGAAGCTGGTGAAGGGTCTAGAGAATAAGCCTTATGTGGAACAGGTGAGGGAACTGGGTTTGTTAAGCCTGGAGAAAAGGAGGCTCAGGGAAGACCCTACTGCTCTGTACAACTACCTGAAAGGAGGTTGTAGTGAGGTGGAGGTTGGTCTCTTCTGCCAAGTAACGAGCAATGGGACAATAAGCAATGGCCTCAAGTTGCTCCAAGAGAGATTTAGACTGGAAATTAGGAAAACATGGGCAAAGGCAGCAAATGACTGAAGGGGACAGAGCAGGCACTGTAGGGCTGCCGGTGCTACCACAATGTTAACTGATGCTCTCAATGCGGAAGTAACATTTCTAGTGTTGTCACCTACAAAAATCATGTGTAAATAAAATGTGTTCTATTCAGGTGCAAGTACTGAATAACTTATTTTACTTTCCCACCTTGTTAGATGTGAAGATTTTATGATATTTACTTGTCAGGTTGAAGATGGTTCTGATTTACTTTGTTTTATCCATGAGAAAGGCAAGAAGGTCATTCCACTGCTGTTCTTCTTTCTTTTCCAAATTAGATGTTTATCCCTGGGCAGGTTTTTACATTGAAAAAAGTATAGAGATAAGTCACATGCCCCTTTTATAGTAACAGCAATGTATTTGAATTTACCTTCAAGAACCATATGTTGTAGCTTCATTATAAAGAAAGACAAAAACCCTCATGCAGGATTACACAAAATGCTGTAGTAATGCTGACAAGTGAATTGTATTTTTGTGTTCAATTCCAGGGCCTAAGCCACAGGACTGTACTCTCTCCCCTAAATTGGATTGGTGATGGTATGCTCCCTTTTCATGATGTAGTGGAGGTTTCAGTCCACAGTCATTTGTTTTCTATTCAAATTTCTAAACTTCAGTGGTGCTTACACCTTTTCAGAGTATGTGCCTTCTGCGTCAAATGGTTCACGGTGTCATGAACAGATACTGAAAGCTTAAAGGAACTGCTTCTCCGTTCAGTTGAAAGAATTTTGCTGTAATATAACCTGTAATAGCCATTAACCTCTTGGACTAAAGAACTAGCTTTATTTTATAATGCAAGTAGGCAATTTTCTTCTTTTACTCGTTTTCCTATTTCTGAGTAGACAGATTTCAACACTACTTTTCCAAGGTGAAGGGACAATGCAGTGAATGAAAGTAGCAGGTCTAAGAAAGCCCCATGACCTGCAGACATTCCCTTTGTCCGGCTTTCCTTTCCTGTACGGGGAAGCCACAGAGATTATTTTCCTGGCTGTTATCTTTTTCATACTTTGTAATTTGTCTTTTATTTACAAAAGTGGAAAAGATGGAAAGGTAAATAATATTTATTTTATCTCACTTTTCTGAGTGGTTGCCCTCCCTCTAATGATTCCATTTGCATAGGCAGATATTTGGCAATTTCAGTCATATTTACACAGGCTGACATTGAACGACTGTTGCTTTTGCTGCATATGACAGTATCGACTAGCACAGAATTGTGGCTGCACGCTAGTGTGCGGTCCATGTCAATGCAAACCCGTTTAAAGCAGCTTGAAGTTTTTTCTCCCTCATCCCCTCCCTTAATTTCTTCATCGCCCATCTTCCCGGCAGAACAGCTAAAATAATTACCTGCAGTCTCATTTTTCACTTTCCTACATGCAGATCTTGTGCGGTTGGGCAGTGAGCGGCTGACGGGGAGGGGCCTGCTCTGATGCAGCACAGGCAGATGACAGCGGTAGCAGCAACAGCAATCAGAGCCCTTCTCCGGGCGGGTTTTGCTGCAGTACGCTGATTGCCACTTTACAGCATCCAGCAAGATCCCCAGCAGCAGGCACTTGGAGGAGACTCTGCGTGGGCACTTGTTTAAGGAGTACCTGACTAAACAATTGGGTTATTCTTTAACTCTCGGAGAAGTGCCTGTATTCCCTTCACGCAAGCTCCCTACTGGCTTTCTGCATTCATAATTTATCGGAGCTGTTTCTCCCTCCGATTTTTTCCCATTACTTTTTTCTTTTCCTCCCCCGATCCATTTTTTTTTTTTTTTCTTTCCCGATCGTTATTCACCCTCCCAAATCTGTGCTGCATCTCTAGCGCTCATTATGCTGTGCTCAGTAGCCCAGTGTGTTCTCCGCCTCTGCTAGGCAGTGGCAGCATGGATGGTGCTCTTGTGACGACCTCTGCTGATGCTATCAGTCCACTGCGGATAGGCATGCTGAGTAATCCTGCTGTAAATGGGCGAGGACACGGACACACGAAAAATTAACCACAGCTTTCTTCGAGACCACAACTATGTGACTGAAGGTAACATAAATACTGTCATTATTCTCTTCTTGCATTGCATTTTCTATGCCAGGAATGCACTGTCATATTTGGAGATGTAGGCTGTTCCTTCTTTTTCTTCCTTTTTCTTTAAACAGGGAGACTTTCAAGGCGTTAACTATGTGATGTAGCAACAGAATCTGTTTGAATTTGCTAAATCCCGAAGGCATTCTGCCATGCTATGGCAGTATATGAAACTATATGGGCTGAAGGTGGTCTTGCATTGTGCTGAGTTTCTGCTAGTGAGGTGTGCAGCACCTGACATTGAATGCACAGTTTAGCTGCAGTGTAGAAGATTGGAAGCAGTTTATTACTTACAGAAAAGATGAAAGATTTGAGAGCAGTAAAGTAAGAGAAATAATCTGTGAAGTTAACTGTTTGCTGGTGTAATAAAGGTTATGCATCTAATTTTTGTAATTATAGCCTGAGCATTACAGACATTACTGAGTTGATTGTTCCCTAGAGAACAGTATACATTTAGAAGGGACATGTAAGCATAATTTTTGAAATCCTGCTGCCTTCTTTCCACCCTCTGTGTATGTGCAAGGTACATGAGAAAAGAAAAGGTACCTTCATTTTAAATAATTCAATGGCTGGTAGCTTATTACATAAAAAGGAATTTTCCTGCAGGTGACACACATTAAATGCTTAGAGAATTTACCTTGTGACCAGTGAAATGGTTGGGTCAGGTACTGATCCATATTTCTTTTCCAGAAAGTTGGTTTAAGACTAGGCCCTTTGAAGATTGATTGATTGAACAGGAGAAATGTATTTGTAGGTGCTTGACTTTGAATATATGTTTGTGTGTGCAGAGTTTTAACAGCACTTTCCAGCAGCAGAAGTGGTACTTTGGTGTAGGCTTATATAATATGAACACACTTAACATCAGGGTCAACCAATACTACTTGAGACTCAGTCTGCAGATTCTGTTGTGATTTGATCAATGCTCAGTCACTTAATACTCCCATGCTGCATCCTGAAATGCTATCAACTGATGCTCTCTTGGCTATTGATGATTGGCATTTTTTTAGGACATAGGAAAGGGCAGGATGATTTTGCCATCCTGGGAACACAAAGCAGATTCTTCAGAAGAAGGATGCAAAATGCCATGTACTGTCACTCTCACCAGTGGCTGGTATAACTGCTGATCTTGCCTCTAGGACATTCTTTGCATTCTGGTTCATGTTTTGGTTCATTTTTCAATTTGCTTTGATTTTTTTCTTAATGCCTGAATGATGATTTATGTTTTGAGGTGTCATAACATTTGAAGAAACTTTGTCTTAAAAATGTAGAAATTTATGCTTTAGATCCTGCAAAGAGCACAGTATAATTACTGCAGTGTACTTGCTACATGTTGAGATACAGATACATATTTAATGGACATGAGCAGCTGTGTTAAAATTTGGACTTTCAAGTCTGTCAGTTTTGTAACATGAGGAAAATAATCCCTTGTGGATTCTGCAAATTAATATTCTCTTCTTCCACATATTAGGGGTGTTTGCAAAATTATATGGGAGTTTTTAGTATATTTGGGAATGCTGCTGACGCAAGTGTTAGGTTTTTCTTCAGTTTTGTCTTGATATTTGGATCAGCAGGACTGGATGTTCTTCTGTGGTTGCACATGGACAGCTTGTCTGAAATGGGTTAAAATAAACCTGAAGTATCAATGTTGGCCTGTTTTGTATTTTCCCTGTTATCAGAAGTCATTGTGAAATGTGTTGGCATCTGATGTTGAGGTAGATGAAGTATGGGAAACCTTCAGTAGCAAAGTGTTAGCTTTTCATCTCCAACTAGTGTAATGTTTCTTGGGAATGCTTAGTTGGTCAGCTGTAATGGAACTTCACATCTGTTATATCTGACATTGCCACACCTTTGAAAAGATCATGAAAATCAAGAGGGAATGGATTATCTGTGAAATTTTTCCAGGGACACCTTCAGCTCAAAGAGCATCAGAATTTTTTATTTCTCATTGGTATCCTTGGTTTAAAATGCATAATGAACACATAAGTTAAACCAGTGCTTAAAATGTGCTTTGTATGTTCCGGTTTGTTCTTCTTTGTATGCTAATTTTGTTTAAAGATTGGCTCCATGAAACAATCTTTAACACTCCTCATTTTCAAGGCCTGAAGTCCTTTCACAGTGCTTGCATTTGGTCCTGTGATATGTTAGTGCAGGGTGTGTAGTAGTAACATACATACAGAAATGCAGTTGAAGGTAGTAGTGCATTGCTTTGTTATATTGGAAAATAATTTCATTTGGGCCAAACCCAAAGACTTTCTTTTGGGGTCTTTGGCTTTTATAATCCACTATTTAAAACAAAGAAATACAAATTTATATTGTATCCAGTATATTAGAGAAGTTACTGGTTTTGTTGTTGTCTGTGAATAACTATGAATCTGTGTTTAAAAATCTTGGTAAGGGGTGTCCTCTGTCCTCACTGCTCCAGGCAGCAGACTAAATTCATTTACAAAAGGGGGTATTTCTGACCTTTATGTGCATTTTCTTCCTCTGTATTCCCTGAGGAAAGTAAAGCCAGCAATAATCAAGAAGATGAGGGTTAACTAGAACATTGCTTCAGTTCTCTTCCTCTTTTACTTCTTTAGTGATTTAAAACCAATAAACAACCAGGTGACATATGAATTCACAGGAAAACTGTGAGCCAAATCTGATTTGCTCTGCTCTCTCTAGTGGGCTGTGTTCCTAATGAAACTGCTTGCTCAAGCAAAGTCAAATTTCATCTCTTCGATAGGTCACTATTTTGTAACACTGGGGTTATCTGTATCAAACATGGCTTTAGCTTGACTATGAAAAATTGAATTGTCTTTTAAATCTCAAAAGTTCCTTGATTTGATGGTTGATGTTCTACTGTTGATGTTATGCTGTTTCTGGTAATAGGCATTACAGAAACACATGACAACAGTGACTATCTGGACTTGTTTCTCCTGTTGCATATGTGTATCTGCAGTAAAACCAATGAACTTGAAACACGCAAGGCTCGCATAATTTTGTCACTGTAAATCTTCAAATTATGTTAGAGTTGCACAATAGAAAAGACAATTTAATTCCAGCAGCAGTATACAGTAAGTTCTTTAATGATCACTTTCAGAAGTGTTTTTTGAAGGAAACCTCTTTAATTGGAGTTGTTTGTGCAGGGAAAGCAGGCAAGGCCTGATGAGACTTGTAAAGGAAGAATGGAGAAAAAACCTGAGGCCTAGAAAATGTGACCTGTGAAGAAAAGGTTGAATTTTTTTATGTGAAGGTGATGGAAGACTGGGTTATATTGCCTAGGGAGTTTGTGTAGTTCCTATCACTGAGGTTTTTAAAAGCGGGTGACAGAGATGTCTGTAAGAAATGACATGAGGATAGCTGAGCCTCCCGTGGGGCAGAGGGATGGGAGAGATGACCTCTGAGATGTGTTCAGGCTTGTGATTCATTGCTGAGCTGCGTTTTATCTTTATTGCCTTTTCCACCCGGCTCCGGGAAAGCAGCTGCCCAGGAGGTGCTGGGTCAGTAAAACGTATTATTTCCACAACACCTTTAAGAAGAACTGAGAAGAGAGGAGAAGCACAGTGTAACATGGGAAAGAAGATGGGCTGGACGGAGAAACATGAGCCTTCATTACTTACAGGCGAAGTGTGTTAGGGGAGGTGGCAAGATTGCAGTGAGTTGGGGAAGGGATAAAGGAGGGAAAGGGCTTGTGTGCTTTTGGGGACAGAGAATCTCCTTCAGTCTGAGAATTCTCTTGACATTATTAGTGGTTAAACTGACAGGGCCACTGATGTGCTTTGCTGTCTTGGGACTTCAGGATCAGACACGCAGGGTCTGATACACAACTGCGAGTTGTGTGGTCTGATTGCTGTATTGCTGGAAGGGGCAAAAAGCTATAGGAAACAGTGCTGCTCCTTTGATCAACTGCACTGTAATTCGTTACTCTGCAATTTATACATGTAATGATTGACAGAGAAATAATGAATAAAATTCACCGTTCTCGCCAAACTGCATTAAGGGATGTGATTCACCTCCATGATCCCAAATTTATCAGAAAAATGCTTTTCTGGTGGTGAAGGCATTCGGAAGATTGCAGACAGGCCTAGTGTATTGATTCACCCCTGCCTTTTTATGGATTATCTCTATTTTGGGAAAAAAATAGGAAGTTGCTTATGCTTTCAGTTTCTAGAGAGAGGTAGGTTCATTCCTTTGGTCTAGGCCTGGAAATTCAAGTGAAACCAGTGAAGTTGCTCAGGTGCAGAAGCTGACCTTCACTATCTAGTCATTAATATGGCCAAATGGTGCAGATTGGTTCCATATGGCTTAATTTCTATTAAAAAGTTAATCATGTTAATGGTGTATTAACCTCCTTAAATGTGATATTTGGAGAATGAGAATTACCAGTGTAGTATAAAACATATTGAATCATAACCATGTGAAGCATCTATTAGAGAGGATGAAAAAAGACTTTTTTTTTTCCTTTACAGAAAAATCCTCTGCAGATAATGAGAAAAAATTTAGGGAGCTTTTCCCCCTTAACTAAAGAAATTAGTAACTCTGGTCTGTATTAATCAAAGTTAAGGGAAATCATCTGATGTTTTCATCCGGCAAGAAGAAATCTGTTTATGAACTGTTCTTTCATAAACATCTCAAATGTAATTTGAAGAAGAGCTGACTACCTGAGAGTATTGGGTGAATATAGTGAACAGATACTGCTCTGCTGGCTCAGGCTCACCATCAGTCCAGTCTGTTCACTTATTTCTGAGGAGCTTATTAAGTAGAGTGCAAGAAGTAACTCTTCCTCTCTTAACCTCCAGCAATTTATGTTGTGAATACTGATGAATTTTGTCTTTTTACAAAACTCACTTAGAAACAGTTTTGGAATGAGCATAGAAATTATTGCTCATTGCTGTTCTATGCACATGTGTTACTTAGCTTTTTTTCTTTGAGTATGAACAGAGGTAAACCTTGTTAAAGCATAACTTTGCCCCTTG